GATCTTTTTTGCAAGGGAGGCCTGGGCTGAAAGCATGTACAAACCGGATTCCAAAAAAGTTGTGACCAGTCCATTTTTACCACTGTGTGGCATCCCCCCTTCTTCTTACCCCCTTCTTTGTTGAAATCAGGTCTCTCTTGTAAATGAGTCCTCGAGGCTCAATGGGATTTACCTGTAGAAATAAAGGTTGATTGATTACAACACTCAACAGACGTCTGGGGACAGAGGAGACCAGTTTGTCAAGTTTAGAAATAGGAATGCTCTCCCATTCATGTCTAATACAGGCCTCTAACTGTTCAATCGTCTTGGGCCTTCTTTGTCACACCTTCCTCTTCATGATGCGCCAAATGTTCTCTATAGGTGAAAGATCTGGGCTGCAGGCTGGCCATTTCAGTACCCGGATCCTTCTCCTACGTAGCCATGATGTTGTGATTGCTGCAGAATGTGGTCTGGCATTATCGTGTTGAAAAATGCAGGGTCTTCCCTGAAAGAGATGACGTCTAGATGGGAGCACATGTTCTAGAACCTGAACATAGTTCTCTGCATTAATGGTGCCTTTCCAGACATGCAAGCTGCCCATGCCACAAGCGCTCATGCAACCCCATACCATCAGTGATGCAGGCTTCTGAACGGAGCGTTGATAACAACTTGGGCTATCCTTGTCCTCTCTGGTCCGGATGACATGGCGTCCCAGTGTTCCATAAAGAACTTCAAATCGTGACTCATCTGACCACAGAACAGTCTTCCATTTTGCCACACTCCATTTTAAATGACCCCTGGCCCAGTGCAAACGTCTGAGCTTGTGGAGCTTGCTTAGAAATGGCTTCCTCTTTGCACTGTAGAGTTTCAGCTGGCAACGGCAGATGGCACGGTGGATAGTGTTCACTGACAATGCTTTCTGGAAGTATTCCTGAGCCCATTCTGTTATTTCCTTGACAGTGGCATTCCTGTTTGAGGTGCAGTGACGTTTAAGGGCCCGGAGATCACGAGCATCCAGTAGAGTTTTACGGCCTTGCCCCTTACGCACAGCGATTGTTCCAGATTCTCTGAATCTTTTGATGATGTTATGCACGGTTGATAATGATAACTTAAAACTCTTTGCTATTTTACGCTGGGTAACACCATTCTGGTATTGCTGCTCTATCTTTCTGCGCAACAATGGTGGAATTGGTGATCCTCTTACCATCTTGGCTTCTGAGAGACACTGACACTCTGAGAAGCTCTTTTTATACCCAATCATGTTGTCAGTTGACCTAATTAGTGTTAATTGGTCTTCCAGCTGTTCGTTATATGCTCAATTTCCTTTTTCCAGCCACTTATCGCTACTTGTCCCAACTTTTTTGGGATTTGTTGACACTGTGAAATTTTGAATGAACATATTTTTCCTTTAAAATGTTACATTTACTCTGATTAAACTTTTGATCTGTCATCTGAAACAAAAACAAAACACTATTTTAAGATTTTTTAATTTTTATTATTTAATCGCAACACGATCGCTGCACAAACAAGAAAAACAATCCATTGTTCTGCATAATTTGTACATTACAGCTTGATAAATCTTTTACACTCATTAGGTATCAAAACAAATTAAAACACGCTGCAGCGTGCAGCCGATCTAAAATCCCATTAGTTTAAAAAAAGATAAAATATTAACATTACAACAGTAAATAAAATATTTACAGTCTTCTGTTGAAACTACAGATATGTACACAGTGTGTGATCAGCGCTCTCTTTGAGAGAGGCAGGAGAACTTTCTTCCTTGGTGACAAAACCAAAACTCAAAAGTAGAACAATCATATTGTTGAAACAACCGGAGGCGTTTCGCTTAAATCAACACGACAAGCAGCACTTCATGCCTTTTAGAGCTCCATGGAGGCGGCTCGTCTCAGCGCAGACGGGATCTGTTCAGTGGTGTAGAGCACACGTGAGCACGTTCAGTCATCATCAAGTCTACCATTTCTAAATCCACAGGCTCAGCAGCGGGCTGCAAGCCCGTGTTTATTCTACTAGCCAAATGTTGTGTGCTCACTTCCTTATGTCAAGCAGATCCCAGTGGTTCCCAACAATGGTCCTTGAGGAACACCGTCCTGCATGTTTTACTTGTTTCCCTGATTTGACGCACCTGATTTAAATGAATTAACAGGCTTCTGCAGAACTTGAAGTAATTAAATCACTGAATCAAGCGTGATGGAGCAGGAAACAACTGAAACAGGCAGGATGGTGTTCCTCAGGGACCATGGTTGGGAACCACTGGATTAGACGATTTACTAAAACTAACTAAAATTAGATTTAAAAATGATTCTTTTATCATTCTACATATCTCAGGGTGTTTAACATCTGCTGAAAAACTCTTAATGATCAAATCAATCAAGGAATACAGTGCACACACAGCTACACCACTGAACAAGTTACACGAAGATGGAAAACCAGTCAGGCTTTTAAATGTGTTCATCCACCGGCCTCGGTCCTTGAGGAGTCAACGCCCAATTTATAGCTCAACAATCAAGCTTGCAATTAATGAAACCGGTTTTCCAGCTGCAGACTGGAGGTGAGACGAACAGCGGTGCTGCACGGCAGAGAACCACAGGGACAAGGAAACAAAAAAACTGAAAACCACTGATGTTTCCAGAAGGACGATTCAGGTTTATGAAACAGAGTTTATAAGGCTGTCGCATTAAGAGGCTGTAGAGTTAGAGACTGCGGAACAAACGGCTGTAAATCAATGAATAAATCAGCTGATCTGTGCGGGTAGTCTAAATCAGATTAACAGGTTTACAACTTCACACATCGTTACTCAGAACTAAAACCAGCCTTAGATGTGCTGTCAGATCCGTTTCCTGCAAAAAGAGCCAGGCGCCCTGCTATTAGTGGATCACAGTGTCCGAGCGAACATCTAAAAATGTCCTGAAACAGGAAAAAGAAGCAGAAACCAGAGTCTTTGTAAAAGATTCAGCATCCTGAGAACTCTCGAGTCACCTGCCATGACTCAAAGATCAGTCTGGCCTCGTTTGGTCTTACCGCTGTTTACAGGGAATAAAAGTGTCATTAAACCAAAGCGTTGAGTTCCATAAGATGAGCAGATGACCATTAATTCATCAGAAAAAAAAACAGGAACCAACTTCTGCAGGGGAAAAAGGAAAAATAAAACCGTGGTGAGACAAAGAGTTAGACTCAATATTCTGCCTTTAAGGCAATCTAATCAGTTGCTTTGTAAAACTGGAGATCAATAAAACGAACTATTCCTCGTTTATCACGAGGGATCCGTACCCTGAAGCCCCGCGATAAGTGGAAAACCGCCAAGTAGGACTAGTAGTACAAGCAGTACGTAGTAGTTCATTATATATATGAAAATAATTTATTAAAAGGTGTTTTAAACTCTTCCCACACTCTTGTAATATTCTAAACAGTGTTTCTAAACTTTAAACTTTCTGAAAGAGTAAAAGAACGTCATTATTTCCCTCTCTCCGGCCCCTCTGCTCTTCACCTGCAAGTGCTCTTGGCCACGCCCACTTCCCCGCTCTGCACGGAGAACAGCTGATCAGCTGCAGCAGGAAGTTTATCCTACAGTACGGGCTGCACAAAGGAGCAGCAGGTGCTAAATAATTTAAAATAATTTATTTTAAATAAAATTATCATGCCGCTCGTGCGGCTCATCCATCAATCAGCCAATTGTGTGTCATGTCCACTCTTATTTTGAAAAACCACGATGGAGCGAGTCCACAGTAAACGAACCGAGAAATAGAGGGACTGCTGTATTTAAAACGTGTCGGAGCTGCTGACACAATGAACACAAATATCTTTAAACCTCTACGGCTGCAACACATGCTGTGTTTGCAAAGTCCAAAAAGTTGATGAGAAACAAGAATTTATTTGGTGAGGATAAAATTACACTTTTGTCAATTCATGTTTCATATTGAAGTATTAAAATCGATCATCAAAGCTTTATCGATTTTGCTTCTTAAACTGTAGTATTTAATAATTCAGATTTATCCACTGTTGCAAAAACCAGTTAAAACAGAGTAAATGTAGGTTTGTAGTTAATCTTGTGCTCAGGGGGTGCAGCTTTACAAAGCAAGTCGTTTTAGAAATGTGAGATTCGTTTTAAATATTGACCATCATTCTTCTCGTGACTGACGAACGTCGTTCAGTGGCTCCTCAAAAAGGAAAGAGCTTCAACTGTAAGTCATGAAATCAAGTGAATTTGAACCTGCAGAGCATGATGTAATCGGTCACGTTGAACCAACTGGGAACACGTAACTAATTACGCAACACACCCATCGACCCGGAACTATTGTTCTTCTGAAGTGTTAAACAATTAAAAGGAGATTTAAAAAGAAAGAAAGGATGGAAAAAAAAAAAAAAAAAAAACGGTCCTGAAGAGAAAAAAAGTGAGCAAACTGCAAACTATCGTCAAAGAAACACGGTCACCGTGGCAACACTTCCTGTCAGGGATACAAACATTGGCAGCCCGCTCTGGTTTCTGAGCTCAGGTAATACCTGCGCTGAGCGACGGGATGATTAACTCTTTCATGGAGGGTTTCCCGATTGCGTCTGTTGACTTTTTATTTTTGTCTTTTTTCCTTTTCTTTATCTATTCAAAGGCCAGATTGTATCACAAGGAAGTTAAAGCGCTGAATATTACTCATGCCAACATTCAGTGAAAATAAAAGTCAAGTATAAAATTCCATACATTCGTTATAACCTCAAACGCACACACGCACATCTATGAACAGGTATTTACACGGGCAGGACAGAGGGCACTGTTTCCACCTCTTGTTGAAAGTTCAAACCTGAAAATGGTAAAAGATTAAAAGAACAGTCAAGTTCTTGGTTTATAAAGTAGAAAAAAGATTTTCCAAGATTATTTAAGAGTCTCAAGTCCATCCGACACACTTGTTGCGATGGTGTGTTAATGCGTTATCGTTTTATGACCTAGATTTTCAAATCAGTTCATCTCGGTAATTCTGAGATTAGATTAGACAAAATCATCTAACTGTGGGTCATTTTTCAAAAATAAAATGGTATCCATCCCTCGATGCCTGCTAGCGCTCAACTCGTGTTGGTGCCATGTAAACGGCAGCGTGCACAGTGGATTTGGGGTTGTGTGTGTGAATGATTGGGTTTGTAAGAACAAGAGGATCCGAGTTAGTTCTGGTGGCGCTTCATGTGCAGGGCCAGGTGGTCCGAGCGCGAGAAGCAACGGCTGCAGGCGACACACTTGAAGGGTTTGGCTCCGGTGTGCTTCCGGTAGTGTCTGGTGAGCTCGTCGGATCGGGCGAAACGCCAGTCACAGTTCTCCCACGTGCAATGGTACGGTTTCTCTCCTGAAAGATAGAAGAGAAGAGCGCAGAGTCGTCAGCAAACTGTAGCACGTTCAGTTAGGATTAGGCCTGTCGTGATAAACAATAAATAAATTAATCGCATGATAAAATTAAAATTATCGACTTCATTTTCATTTATCGGCTTTATCGTTTCTTCGCGTCTCTCTTTCTACTGAAGACACTGGACGACAAAAGGTTCAACCCTGGTGTTCTTCACTGACTCCTCTCTTTCCCTTTAAAATCTGTTTTAACCGTCCAAAATGGCGCCTTATACTGCCACCCAGTGGTCAAAAAATGGTACTACACATAAAAATGAACCAACATTTCTTCTTAAATGAACAATAATTACTAATTATTGTCAATTTTCAAACTTTTTTATTTAATTTACCCTTTATTTATCCAGGTAGTCTCATTTAGTCCCAAGAACTCATTTTCAAGAGAGACCTGTTTAGGGAGCAGATGGGAGTTAAGGGCCTTGCTCATGGGCCCAGAGTGGGGCGAATGAGGGTGGGGACAGGTGTGGGTGCTTCACCTACCCCACCCACATTTTTTGATGTTGTCGGTACTGGGGCTTGAACCGGCGATCTTCCGATCGCAAGCCCACCTTCTCTAACCTCTGCGCCACCACTCCCTCAATATTATCATTTATCGCAATAATTTCCAAGACAATTAATCGCCCAGCAAATTTTGTTATCGTGACAGGTCTAGTTAGGCTCACAGCTTTAGTTGATAATTTTTTTCAGTTTTTCAATTTAATTCTACCCTTTTTTAAAAATTTTTAAAAAAAGAAATTATGTCTGCTGTTGAGGCCATCAAGAAAGATAAAAAAAATTAACTTCCTGCTTAAACAGTAGTATTAAAACAACGAATATCGTATCTCCGAGAAACACACCAACTGCTGTAAAGCTGCCTTTGCTTAAAAAAAGGCTGAATAAACTCAGTGGAAAGTGCTGATTCAGAAGCTCTACTGGGTAAACGGAGTCATGGAAAAAGTTGCTACACTTCTTTGAGAAAAGACAATAAAAAAAGTGACTGATGATTTTAGAAAGCAACCTTTTCAGCAACGTAAAACAAAGACTTAAAGCAATATCCAACTGTTGCAACAGCTTCTTGTACATGAAACGAGACCAGTCCCACTGGTTTGACGATAATACGGCAGAAATAAGTAAGACGGCATGATGACAAAAGAAGCCGTGACATGAATTCAAAGAGGTGCGGAAAAACAAGCCGAGTAAATCTAAACCGACAGTTAACCAGCTCCACCCAAACGTCGACATTTCTCTGCTGTGATACAACGTGCGGTTGCCAGATAGTGAGCTAATCATCAACAAAGAAAAAAGGCGCTGATGGCAACAGGAAAAATGTCGTCTTTCATAACCAAGATGGAAATAAATGGAATCAATGGGAGGTGGGAAGACAAAGGCAACTTAAAAAGGAGATAAGAAAACGGCACCGTCACATTCTTCAACCTGCCGTTTGGTACGTTCCAGAGCTGAAAATGAACGAGCACTAAGAAAACATTAAGCCTGCTTTGTTGTAAGGAGGACTTATCTGTGTTTAATACCTCGTCTACGTTTTCTGCCAAGCAATGTCAACAGAGTGTGTCTCAGTTTTGCTGTTAGGTCATTAAGGGTTCATTACCAGCGTGGACCCTGTTATTGCTGATTAGATAGCCTCAACTATCGACAGGCAATCATTCGGTGACAGGCTTTAGCACAGAGATGAGGTTCAAAGAGCAAAAGTGGGAGTTTATTAGGCGACAACGAGGTTAAAAGACCTGCATTGTCATTGTATAGTGCCATCATTAATCAAAAACTGTTCATTCTAGCAGAATATTTTAAGGGTGTAACGGTGCACTGAAGGTGCAAGTTAAGGGTCGTGGTGCAGTATGGGTTTGGTACACAGAAAAAAAAACAAAGAATCAAATGGTATTTGTGGTGTTTTCCCCACTTATTTAAACAGATAATCCTCAGAGACAGTAAAACTACCAGTCTCACTCGTGGAGAGACTCACAGGAATCATCATGTGGAGCGAGGTCACCAGTAATATTAATGGAAAGTTGAAAAAGTCATTGTACTGTCCTATTTATCCAATTTGAACCGTAAACGGTGTCCTAGAGGAAACGCGTCAAACAAAAAGTTAATCTACAAAAACTGAAATCGCACCAATATACGGCTAAACAAAGTTGGTTTAAAATAATTTACAATAAGCTGTCGTTTCTCAGCTAGCTGACTGCTAATGTGCTGCAGGTGGCAAACTAGAGGTGAAGGAAGCGTTACTGACTGGGTTAAACTGGGCCAGCAACTCTAAAGAGAGTTCTCCCAGGGATTTCAATATCAGTCAAGAAATAGTTTAATTTGCTTGCCACATCACGTAGAAAGGCTTTGAAGCACCGTTTCATATTTCCTAACACGTCAGTCCACATAAGACCACACTTAGCCACGCCCCCTCATACACTGATAGGCTGAGCTCCCCTTCTGCGAAAGGCGGAGCCTAGGGCCCTATAAATTAATAATGACACGAGACATCGGGGCTCTTCTTCCGGGTCTGTGGCGTCACAGACAGTAGAGTCCAGCGCTGTGACTTGTAATCTTTTACTGCCTTTTCTAATATAATTTGATAAAACTTAATTGACGTTTCCTTGATTTATTGATTAGTATAGTTGCCACTTCTGAGGAAGGTTCGAGCCGGGGGTAAAGACGTGGGCTAGAAGGGGTTTCCGGATCCGGTGGCCCGCAGCCAGCTCTCGTCTTTAACAGAAGACATTAGAAATCAAGTTTACCAAACAAATTCACAAACGGCTTGCCGTAGAAGGGGGGGACAAAGCATGGAATTCATGACCCTTTCGGCTTTCCATACATTTGCTCTCCATCGAGCTCAGAGCTAGCAACAAAAGCTAAGCTGAACTTTCCCACGCAGCTGATTTGAAGGAAACGAGCATCTGCACCAGCTGTTCTTGCTTTGCTTTGGTGTGGAGTGCTTTAGACGACATCTTCGTCTGTACCGTCATGTTCAATAAATGTATTGTTGTACTTATATTTCCAAAAAATACCACATTCAGTGGAGCCGTCACTTAAAAATATGATTTAATTTGTTTATGGACTAAAAAAAAAGATGCTAAAAATCCACACGTGAGCTCCAGCTTGCATGCGCGCTTGTACTCGAGCTTTCTTCTTGAACAATGACCTGCTCCTAGAAGGGCCCCGCACCTGACGTGTGCGTGGATTTGGAGTACAAATATCTCCATATGAAAGGGCCGATCGCTGAACGCACAGGTGTGTTTGGTTTGGCTCTTTATTCGTGCTGTCGAGGTCAGAAAGCACGGTTGTCTCTCTCGAACCATTATCCCTGAAAGCTAGCAAACAGCCCAGTGAAATAGGACGCACAGAACAAACACTCGACTGCTGCGTGCTCCTCAACGAGCTGTGAAAAGTGAAATCTACACACGCTTTATGATTTATTTCATGACATAAAACAGAAGTTTGATTTAGTCAAGTACAAAGTTCCATTATAAAAAAATAGAAACGGAACAGACGCATTGAGATAAAAAAAAAAAAGATTAAAACATTCACTTTTCAAAATTGCAGGTATTAGAGCTTAAAAGAGTTCGACACATTAGCTGTTTGACCAGGTGGCTGATTAGAAGAAAAACACTCAAACTACAGTTATTTCCCTCTTTCAAGCACGATGGAGTCCACGTAGCGAGACCACATCATAATGGACGAACACACAACGTCACCCACTCAATCACAACAAAACACTCGGAAAAGTACAACCAAAGAGCATCAATCACTCCGAACAAAAAGAGCTCTTGTACAACCTGGTGTACTTTGTATGGAAGACAAATATTAACTCTCCGAGACGAGTCTTCTTCAAGCTCCTGCATGAAAATCAATATGAAAATAGAAAACAAAACATGTTTTGAGCAACGTTTAATCTTATTTTCAACCTCTAACCGTCTTAAGCCATGCATAGCTACACACAGGCTGATGTAATGTGTATAAAAAGTGTAATAACATTGTTTTACAACCATCTGTGCCTCGTTTTACGGAGTCAAAGAGCAAACACTTCCAGGCTCTCCAGGACGCCTTTGTGGACCTTTCAGCTTTATCAGCGTAGTTAGTGTTTGTAAAGAGGGCTGGAGGGTTCCCTAATCAGGCTGATGGCATTCTTCAAGCTCAAACACACGCACTACAACAACTAAAGTCACAGTGAAGAGCTCAAGTTGTGGCCATGGTCAAGGTTGCAGGTTGGAGATCGTGATGCAGCTCTACGGGTCTCAGGTGCACCAAAAGCTTTTAGAAACTGAATCCTTGTACCATCAACACTGGTGCACAAAGCTCTAATTAGCCGAGTTGTAGTCAAACGAATCAGAGCGCAGCTTTATGAAGTTTTTATCCTCCATCTTAACTAATATTTACATAAGTTAAAAAAAAAAAAAAAGAAGCAAATATTTGTTAGAATTTAAGCGAACAAAATGGATTTTGATTATCTCAAAAGATAAGTTTGGTATTTTTACGACTAATAGGTAACAGGAACCAGAATACACAGAATCAGTTTGATGTGGAGTAAAGAAGGGATTGTTAAACAGTTACAAACTTTGCATGAATCACGCCAAGTAAAGAGTTTCTGGTTTGCTTCGTAGCTCGTCTGGAGTGTTTAATTGTACGTTATTCCCGAACTCTCTTCACATTTTCTCTCTATCTGCTTGAATAAATGAATAAAACAAAGATATTACGAACAGTAAAGAACAGTAATGAGATTAAACTAGATTATGACTATAGCACACTAATATTTAATCATCTACTTTTTGTTGTTTTTATTTTGCTTTTGCTCCCAACAACTTTAGATTAATTGTTCAACATATCGTGTTCACGTGATTCCTATAGAATCACAAATGTCAAATATGAAACAGAAATCTTGGCTGGAAGAAAAAAGTTCCCCCGGTGTCTCGTAAATTAAAATGTATCCAAAAATCTAAAATAAATGTAATAGCACTCAATCAAACCAGAGGAAAGAGGATTTCCGAAATAAGAAGTACAATTGTTGAAGGGCAGTCGTCATCTACTCTGGTCAGATCAGCAACTCCAAATGAAAAGCTGCAACTCTCCTCGACAGACTAAATGGTACCGGATGTGTTTGTAAAATCTATTTAAAACATGAAGAGACTCATGAAAAAGAGGAGTACACTAATAAATGTAGGTCAGGGGCAGAAAAATTTAAGGGTTTTTCCCATAATAATGCCTCTATTTATTATTATTATTATCATTATTATTATTATTATTATTATTTTTAAATCAGAGCAGCCGATGGCTGATATAAAAATATTTTCATAAAAAAAAGTTTTGGCCTTTATGTACGTTTTCTTTAAAAAAAAAACATGGAGGCGTTTACCTTTGCAATTTTGGGCTGGAAGCTTAATTTCACAATGCAACATTAACAAAGGTTACAAAAGGTCAGGCATACTGAGGAGCCAGTGGATTAGACTGAGTTTTTAGACTAAGGAAAAGAAAAAGGTCTGAGAGTTCAATCATCCAGGTAGATAAATCACAAAAAGGGGTTAAATCTTGTCATCTGAACAAGTTACTTTTAGGGAGAAATATTTTGTCTTTCATCTGAAAGACTAACAGTCTGAGGCCTGCCAACCCTGATCCGTCTTACAAAACCAAGGTAACAACAACACATCCTTGAGGTACTCCACATTTCAGAGAATGCACAGTAACTTGTCTGTTCTTTTGTTTTCAGTTTAAACTGAAGGACAGAACGGGGAGATATGTATTTGTCACAATAGAACAGAAGTCATGTCTATTTTATAACTGCAGCAACGATTTTCTTACTTTCTTAATCTAAATTTTATTTTATACCATTTTTTTTACAGCTTAGAACACTCGGCCCAATCTACTCTCCAACCTATGAGTCATCAACTGAAGGCAAAGCAAGATCAGACCAGCCTTGTCTGGCCGGACTGTCAGCAAAGGCTGAAGGTTTGTAACCTTTAGCTGCGTTTGTTCGCCACAGCTTCGATGATCAGTTCAGCGACGTGCAGCCGTTCCAGCTCCACTGGCCGTTTATATTCTTGGGCTTCCTTTGGTCTCAACATGAGATAATCAGGTTGTTGTCATTTTAAACATACAGTAGATGTTGTATACACAGGTAAACACATCCAATGGCCACCCGTTTGTGTAGCCCTGCAAAATGTAAAATGAAAAAGTGGAAACGGGGGAATCCTCTCTTAAATGTTTTACCCCAAAAAAGCTAATTGTACTCGAATCTATTTTTTATCTAGTTTCAAATGAGGAAGATACATTTGGGTCTGCATACTTGGATCATTTTATTTACAATTCTCATTTCATATCGTCTTTTATTATTTGCTGCGTCCTGCTGCTTTAACTTCTCCACCGAGAGCCAAAACATTTTTATCCCATCAGCTGAAGACGGATCCGTCTCCATTTGCTCATTCATTCACTCGTGTGTTTTCGCACTGCAGGCAGGAGCTGTGCGGCTTTTATCGCATGAGTAAATCTGCAAAATACTAGTTGAGCGGAGGCCGCTGGGAAATCTACAGGTTTCATCTTTCAGAAAGAAACAAACGAAACCAGCCTGCCCCCATTCTGCGAACCCCTCACCTTCTACACTGGAAAAAAAAAAAAAAAAGCACTGAAAAGCCGGAGGAACTGGTTTGGTCTTCATTTAATAGCGTGTCTTCCCCTTTTTTTATCCTCTTTTCTTCGTCTTACCCTCCTCCCTGCCTTCTTTGTTCTCCGTCTCTGGGGAAGCTCAGAGGACAAGTACGAGCATGTCCAAATGTGGCGCAGAAAAAAACAAAAACGCTAAAGAAAACTTGGATTGCCTGCACGTCTTTCTCTTTTAATCGTGTTCGCCTTCATCTCTATTATCGTTACAGGGCGTATCGAAACTGGCGACGTGACAAACACGCAATAACTGCATTAAAAAAAAAAAGCTTAAAGCAGCTAAACTCACAGGATTACTTTTCCAGTCTGAGAAGATAGTTTGAAATCATGAACTACAAAAAGTGCACAGCAGGAGTATCGACCTGTTCCCAATCAAAGTGGAACAGGTGTGACATCACAAGTCCATTTATTTCAGCCTGATGCATCATGAAAACGTTTAAATTCACCTTTAATCACTGTGCTCATGTTTAGTTCATTATAACATAATGCAGAGGTGAAACGTGACATGACCTCTGACCCTCAGTCACTCAGGCCAAGCACCTACTGAATGTGTCGTCATGCACACAGTGCACGTGTGGGCTGAACACCAGAGCTAAAGACGGACAGTGATTTTTGAATATTTGACTCTGGTTAAAAAAAAGCGAATTTCAACAATTAAAACTTTACATCAGCACCTGGAAGTGACTCGCCAAGTTGTTCCCTAACCGTGATTTTCCCGTCTGAGCACTTTTCTTTTTTTGTTTTATGATGAGGTCCCCTTCCAGAAAAAAAAAGAAAAAGATGAAAAACAACTTTGAGCATCGCCAGCATCGTTTCTGTCATGGCAGTTTATTTTGAAAGGGTTTTAAAGTGGAAACTATGGTCACAGGTGAGCTCAGCTTTACTGACAGCATCCATGCATCCTTAAAAATGTCATAGAAAATGGAATAGTTAAGGGACAAATTTAAACAGATTTTTTTTTTTGTTTGTTTGTTTAAAGTGCACATTTCTAATCTGAAATGGATTAAATTACCAGGTTGGAGCAGCTACCGCAGTTAGACCCGTCGCGATAAACAATAAATCAATTAATCGCATGATAAATGGAAAATTATCAACCTCATTTTTATTTATCGGCTTTATCGTTTCTTTGCGTCTCTTTCTACTGAAGACACTGGATGACAAAAGGCTCAGCTGCGGTGCTCTTCACTGACCCCGCCCTTTCACTTTTCTCTTTAAAATCTGTTTTAATCGTTCAAAATCAAGTTTTTGGATCGTTAGAAGTAGCTAAACTGAGAAGCTAAGCTACGAGCTAAGCTAACAGACTGACCACGGGGAAAAAACCGCCGTCTTGTCGAAGCTCCAAAATTCACGGTTGAAACTCGTGCCTTCGTGTAAAAAGGTTTTCTCTTTAAAAAGAATCTGAGAACTTGTTTACCGATTTTTTTTTTTTTTTTTTAATTAAAAGCTTTGTGTGAGAAATGCTATGCTAAAGAGCTCAAACCACACCGAGCATCAGCCATTTTGAGAACCACAGAGAGACAGCCCATGTCAGGTCAAGAGGCCTCCCTCCCATTTTTTTTAAAGAGACACGCTGCTCACTCCCTCACTATCCATCCTTCGGTTCAAAGGTCTAATACTGCCATACAGTGGTTGAAAAAGGTACTACACAAATTAACCAACATTTTTTCTTACAATAATTACTAATTATTGCCAAATTTCAAACAATATTATCGTTTATCGCAATAATTTCTGAGACAATTAATTGCACAGCAAAATTTGTTATTGTGACAGGTCTAACCGCAATAATGGAGGATGAAGTTTTCTTACCGGTGTGTGTTCTTTGGTGTGCCTTCAGGTGAGAGCTCTTTGTGTAAACTTTGGAGCAGCCTGTGAAGAAACCAGAGGGAGATGATGAGCAGAAACGTGCACACGGGACACCCGGGGTGCACCTTCCACGTCCGTTTTTCACCGTCAAACAAAGCGATGGAGGTCTGGGAGAAAAAGTTGTTAACAACTCCCAAACCTCACCTGCAGGTTCTACTGTGTGGACTAAATGAACCATTTCAGATGGATTATTACAGGGATTAACTGGAAAACAGACCAACATAAAGTCACTTTTTAATGAGTGATGCCAAAGTTTTTAAGAAATACTTAAACCCTCTAGAGGAAATGGAATGTTTTAACTTCAACAATAAAAGCACAAAACGTTTCAGATATTTCTATAATCATAATAAAAAACCCGTCAGCACTTTAAGTGTCCTGATGCTCAATAATCCAGGTAGTTAAATCTAACGAGGTGGAGTCGGGTTCTCTGGACAGGTTCTTTGTTGTCAAAAATTGTTCAGCGGTAACTGTTCAGCAAAGAGTTTGTATCTGCCAACGATCCAAACGAGTCTTTGGGTTCAGTCTCAGCTACTACCACACCCAACGATAGCTCAATATGTATAAATGGAGTTTTTGCCATTTTGTGCTTTTGTTTTTAATTTACTCCAAATTACTTTCTACAGCTTTTATTAAATTTATCAGTGGTTCAATTATACTTTATGCTAACAACCAACCTAGCAAAAATAAGAAAATAAGAGCTTAAACAGGCAACTTATTGTGAATTACAGCCTTCTCAGTGCCAAGTAATAACTTTTAAACATATAGTAACAGTTTGAGAGTCTTTAACAGATAAAAATTAAATTTGGGCTGCAGGATGACAATTTTTACAGTTTTTACTTCACTGAAAACAGAAGTTTAAAGATTTGTTTCGAGTTTAAAGTCGACTTTCTGAGCTGAAAGTTCTTGTTTTTGTTCTGCTCAGGTGTTATTAGCCCGTTAGCTTTCCTCAACAATCTACATGCACTTTTGCTTTTGGGTTTACACAACGGTGACGACGGTCAAACATCGCAGTGGTTAAAAAACTGCAGCTACCGTGATGCTGAGGAGATTTAGATGTGTATTGGTTATTGATTGGTGCGTGATCAGAGGATGAGATCTGCTCCAAAACGTCCACAGTGCTCTCGTGTTGGTTCTGCAGGTCACGTCCAACTGGCCCCAACGAAACGGCTTCCAATTAGAAACCTGTGTGAAGCCGCCGTGCTTCCCCAAGAGGAGGGTTAATTAAATCAATTAAAATGAAGCCACGCTTGTTTTCGTGGCTGCAGCAGACACGCCATGAAACGTTGGGAGTCGTTTACTCCACGACTGAACGAAGGTCTCCAGAAACCGCAGCTGGAGAGAGTTTATTCAGACGATCCTAGTTTTGTGTGGTTCAGACGATTTGTCAGTCTGGTTCCGTCTTCCTGCAGCAACGACATCTAAAGGTTCCTAATCATCTCCGGCGAAGTTGTAAAGACAAACCTCACGTAGACACCGTCTTCAGAGGTCCACATGTTGTCAAACTGTGGGAGACTTTATCACTTCAGGGTGTCAACAAATTACACAACATTCAAATATTAGGGGTGTAACATTATACACGAGTCATTTTGGGTTTATAGGACAAAGAAACAAGTTTTTATACATTTATCTTCATTTTTTTTTTCTTTTGGCTTTTCCCTCTTCAGGGTCTCCACAGCGAGTCGTCCTCCATCTCACTCTGTCCTCTGCATCCTCTGTCCTCACACCAACTACCTCCATGTCCTCTCTTTGAATTTTTCCAGGCAGCTGCATTTTTAACATCCTTCTACCAATATACCCACTGTCCCTCCTCTGGACATGTCCAAACCACTGTCCCTCCTCTGG